GACACTGAATGGATGAATATTTTGAAGACATTCTATTAAGTCAAATGAGCCAGTCACAGAAAGAAAAACTATATGATACCCTAAGACTTAAGATACAGCTACATCAATGTTTATAGCAGCTCAACTCACAAGAGCTAAGCTATGGAACCAACCTAGGTGTCCTCCAATAGATGAATGGTTAAAGAAAATGTGGTATATATATATATATATATACACAATGGAATATTATTTGGCCATAAAAAGAATGACTTTATGACATTTGCCAATAAATGGATGAATCTGGAGGCTATCATACTAAGTGAAATAAGCCAATCCCAAAAATCTAAATGCCAAATGTTCTGATATATGGTTGCTGGCATGCAACAGGTTGGGGTAGGGAATAGAAGTTCACTGGATTAGACAAAGGAGAGTGAAGGGAAGAGAGGGGGATGGGAATAGGAAAGACAGTGGAGTGAATGGAACATCACTTTCCCATGTTCATATTTGAACACACGACCAGGGAAACTCCACATCAGGTCAACCACAAGAATGGGAAATTATACTCCATGTATGTATGTATGTATGTATGACAAAACACACTCTAGTGTCATGTATATCTAAAAACAATAAATTTTTAAAAAGTAATTAATCTTTGAAAAATTAGACTCAGATGACCTCACCTAGAGTAGTCAAACTCACAAAAATAAAAAGTAGAATGAGGGTTTCCAGGGGCTGTGGGAAGGGAGGAAACAGGAGTTAGTGTTCAATGATACAGAATTTCAATTTGGGAAGATGAAAAGTTAGAGAGATGGATGGTGGTCAGGGCTGCACAGGAACGTGAATGTACTTAATGCCACAGAACTATGCACTCTAGCTGGGCACCGTGGCACACGCCTGTAATCCCAGTGGCTCAGGAGGCTGAGGCAGGAGGATTGCAAGTTCAAAGCCAGTCTCAGCAACTTAGCAAGGCTTCCTAAGACACTCAGTGAGACCCTGTTGCTAAATAAAATATAAAGAGGGCTGGGATGTGGCTCAGTGATTAAGCTCCCCAGGATTCAACCCCCACTACAAACCACCACCACCAACAATGAACTATACACTCTAAAAAGGTTAGAGTGGCCAGGCACAGTGTGCACAACTGTAACTCCAACAATGAGGGAGGCTGAGGCAGGAGGGTCTCAAGTTTGAGGCCAGCGTTAGCAACTCAGGGAGGCCATGTCCCAAAATAAAACCAAAAGCAAAAGGGCCGGTGACATAGCTCAATAGCAAAACATTTTCCTAGCATATGCAAAGCCCTGGATTTAATCCTTAGTACCAGTTACATACACACATAAATAATGGGTATGATGGTAAATTTTGTGATGATTTACAATACTTTTAAAACAGGAAAACAAAAATAAAGGTTGGACCTGCAGGGATAAAATGCCAGATACAAGGTCACTGTGAGATCAGTTAGTCCCCAGAGAGCAACCAAAGCAAAAGACCATTTGGTGCTCCTGAGTCACACGGGCCCTGACCCTGTCTGACCTCTCCCACCGCAGCCCGACAGTCAGATGGGCTAGCAGATGTGTCAAAGCAGCTTTAAGCACAATCTCAGGCCTGGTCTAAGTTGTCCAGGATGGTCTCAAACTTGTGATCCTCCCATCTCAGTCTCCCAAGTAACTGGAATCACACGTATGAGCCACCAAGCTAATTTTTTTTTTTTTTTTTTTTTTAAGCAAAGCTGAAATTCAATCTCATTCAAGAACTCCATTATCAGACACATTATCTGAGTCCCGAGAACAATGCTGGTCCCTTGGCCATCTGCATTTCATGGATGAGGACACTGAGGCTCCTGACAGATATTTGAAAGGAGCCTCTTTGAAAGCATCTCTCAGACACCAACCTTGCTGGGCAGTCCAGTTTGTAAACATAAAAAGGAAGGGGGTTGGAGATGAGGCCAAAGGAAGAAAACAGGAAGCAGCACTTGGCAGCAGCTGGAGGTGGAAGTGACCTTTCACCATCAGGAAGGTCAGAGGAACCTTCACACCAACTGGCACAAGCCCAGGTGAGCCCCCGTCCAGAGAGGAAATGCACCATCTGTGCCAGCCTCGGCCCCTCGAGCACCCTTCAGGTTCCCAGCTAGAGATCAGTGAGGTCCCTTGGGCTGAGGGCTGGGGATCACTTCACTGTCTTCACCCTCATTCCTCCCTCCACAGGGAGAGCTCGCAGGCACAGAGCTGGGCAGGATTCCCTCAGGGTTCATCTTGGCATCTTGCAACCAGGAATGCGTCAGTCACCTCCAAGGACCTGATCAGACCCGATGACTAATGACTATTGTCCTTACTGGGCAAAAGAAGGGATGATGAGGAGGAAAAGCTGGGCCCAGTGGTGCAGGCCTGTAATCCCAGTGGCTCGGGAGGCTGAGGCAGGAGGATCAAAAGTTCAAACCCAGCCTCAGTAAAAGCGAGGCCCTAAGCAATTCAGCAAGACCTTGTCTCTAAATAAAATAGAAAAAGGGCTGAGGATGTGGCTCAGTGGTTGAGCACCCCTGGGTTCAATCCCTGGTACCAAAAAAAAAAAAAAAAAAAAAAGAAATAACCAGAGAAGGCCTCATTTTCAAAATTCCACTTAAGCAGAAACTAAAAGACAGGGGAGTAGGCCCTGAAAACATCAGGACTAGGGCAATGCCAGAGAGAACAGCCAAGTTTAAAAATCCATAAGCAGAGGGCAGGTTTGACATCAGCACAGCCAAAGCAGGACGCCATTCATCAGCTGGGGCGGAGGCCCTGGACACAAAGGTCGCTGACATTTCCAAGGCCTGAACTCAGGGGATCAGGCAGGGAAACTTCAGGCAGGGAAGCCACTATTGCAACTCAAAGGGAATGCTTTCAGACTTTTCTTGGATCCTTTCTCCTCCAAAAAACTTCATGGCCTGCTTTTAGCACAAGCTGAATATCCCTATCCAAGATGCTTGGGCCCAGAGACATTTCATTTTTTCCCCCCAGATTTCTGAATATTTGTACTTACTTAATGAGACATCATTAATAATGGGACCCAAGTCAAAACAGGAAATTCATTTACGTTTCATATATACCTTATAAGCACAGCCTAAAGGTAATTTCATATGATATTTTTATTAATTTTGTGCACAAAACTAAGTTTCGTGGTGTGTGATTTCCTACTTCTGGCACGTTGGAACTCGGAGTTTTGGGTTTTGGAGCGTTTCAGATTTCAGATGTTTGGATTAGCAATGCTTACTCTATAGATACTTACAGGCTAAGAATCGGCAGAAAATAGATTCAAGTGTTAAAGACTGACTTCCTTGGTATTCTTTCAATGTTTCTATGGAATGATCCGAAATTTCTATTCAAGCCTAACCTGAACCCTTCCCACTTCAATTTTAGGGCCCAGAGGCAGGGGGATGGGGCTCTGAAAGGACAACGCTTCAGGGTTTTGGAACCTGTGGGGATGGAAAGTGTCATCTGAGAAGGATTTCTTCTCCCTGAAACATAGGAGGCCTGGGCTGATCCCAGAGAGGTGGGAAGAGGGGGCTCAGTGCAGACCAATCAGTAATCGGGACTTGATTGTCCAGCCCGGTTTACCCAGCCAGGAACCAAGGGATCCCTCCAGGGAGCCATTCTGTGTAGGAATCAAGGCAACATATATGTCATGGCAAGGTCCAACATGAGACCTCAGTTCAGGGATCAGAGTACTAAACCCTAATGCAGAGACAGGGTCTCAGCCAGGTGCGGTGGTGCACGCCTGTCATCCCAGTGGCTCCGGAGGCTGAGGCAGGAGGATCTCCAGTTCAAAGCTAAGCCTCAGCAACTTAGGCCCTAAGCAATTTATGGAGACCCTGTCTCTAAATAGAATACTTTTAAAAAGGGTTGGGGATGTGGCTCAGTGGTTTAGTGCCCCGGAGTTCAATCCCTGGTACCAAAAACAAAAAACAAAATGAGAAAAGGCAGGGTCTCAGTGGAATGGCCAAAGCATCAAGGAGATCCCTCAATAAGAAATCAGAGAGGTGCTCAAGAGCGGGGAATAAAGAATGATTACATCTTGGTCCCTCATGCTCCATGGGTCCGATTGTATTGTTCCTAGATTTGTGGGGCTTAGCTTCTTCCTAAAGGCTCACAGTACTGAAATCTCTCCCCACACCCTGTGCCCCAAATATGCTGCGCACACACACACACACACAAAGTGAGTTCTCAAAAACATTTTTTGGAGTTGCTCACTAAATAAACATTTTCTTTCAAGCAAAGACTATCAGAGACAATGTCCTCTGTCACAGAATACGACAGGGATGGCACCTGGTCATTTGTTACTGAAGTATAATTTGGACCAACCAACTGCTTTTGGAGGAAATCTAAGCGCTCATCTCAAGACACCACAGGGCCGGTGTTTCGTGCTGGAGAGTCCAGGGAGGACGTCAAGGGGGCTAAGGCACGTGAAAAGCCCCAGCCCAGAGCCTGGCACTCAGCAGGCACCAGGAACTCTGCGGGGCTCCTTTCCTTCCCTGTTCACAGGGCCCAGGAGAGGTGACAAGGAGCATACCGTATCACGTCCGTGGTGAGCCAAGCACACCAGGAAACCAGATCCAATTTCCACATGGCCCCCAGCAAATCACCCTATGATAGCTGTCCCCACCCCACTGCTCCGTTGGGTCCTCAGGACAAAGAGCCAGTGTCTCCGGGGAGTGCTCTTCCTGCTGCCTCCGGATAGTGCCAGGAGAGGAGGAGGAATGTCTGGTGCTTTGCATGTGTCCATAGAGGGCCCAGCTGCCCAACTCGGGGGACCTGGGTACCAACCTCGCCCACTCGTAGGATCATTCATACGCCAGCAGCCACATCCCGTGAACAGGGATGAAAGCTATCAGTAGGAATGACTCAGATCAGAGGAGGGAGTAGAGGCTGATTTCCAGTGCAGCAGTGTCCACGGTCACAGCGCGTCTAGCCCTCAACAGGAGACAGGGAAACCAAAAGGTGTCCCCCTACACACGCGGCTGCGGTGGTGGGTACTGGAAGGGGCAATTGGCTTACCTGCCTCGCCACTCTCCGAGCCTCCCAGTAGGGCTTCGAGTCCTCCACAGCTTTGCCAATCTTCTTCACCATTTCGTCCAGTTTCACCGTTGCCTCCACCAGGACAGAGCGGAACTTCTGACGAGCATCCTGCAGCCAGGGGGAGTGGGGGAGATACAGGTTAGGCACGAGCCAGCTCCACCAAACCAGGAACACCTGGGGCTCTTCCCACCATAAGAACCCCTCCATTAACGCCCTCACAAGACAGTGTCTAGATCAGCACCATCCAAAGAACTGTCTGCCATGGTGTAAATGACCTGGAATTGGAGCTGGGTGCGGTGGCACCCAACTATAATCCCAGCAGCTCAAGAGGCTGAGGCAGGAGGATCACAAGTTCAAAGCCAGCCTCAGCAACTTAGTAAGGCCCTAAGCAACTCAGTGAGATCCTGTCTCTAAACAAAATAGAAAATAGGGCTGAGGATGTGGCTCAGTGGTTAAGTGCCACTGGATTCAATCCCTTATACAAAAAAAGACCTAGAATCAGCCTTGTCTGAGGTGGTCACTTGCAGCCACCTGTGGCTATTGATCACTTAAAACTGGCCACTGTGACTAAGGAAATAAGTGTGCAATTTAATTACTTGAATTTTAAAAATGAGTGTGGCCAGGGACCCACTATACCATGGTATAGTGGTATATTGGACACTACAGTGTAAGTTCTGTGGCCTGGTGTGGTGGCAGCACACCTGTGATCCCAGTGACTCAGGAGGCTGAGGCAGGAGGATTCCAAACTGGAGGCCAGCCTCCAAAACTTAATGAGGCCCTAAGCAACTTAGCAAGACCCTGTCTCTAAATAAAATATCAGAAGGGTTGGGGATGTGGATCAGTGGTAGAATACCCCCAGGTTCAATCTCCAGGACCATAAACCCCCCTCCCCCCACACACACACATTCTGTGCAGGTCCTCAGTTGTGCCAGTTGCCCTCTGGCAGCTCAGCTCAGTCTATATGACCATGCCATATCCCACACTCCCTGGAGGCCCTCAACCTCCTGACTCGGTCAACCCTAAATTCTGGGTGCAAATCAACTGCAGACCAGACCCTGTGCTGGGAGACAAGGTATGGTCCTGCCCTCATGGCACTTCCAGTCTGGTGGATGAGGCAGGTGTTACAGCCCATTCTGGAAACGCCAGGGCTACAGTGGGAATGGTATGGGTGTCACAGATCCCAGCTGCAGTGAATCTGGCCAGCCTGGGTATTAGAGGTAGACTCAAGGAAAACCTCCAGAGTCGTAGGATCCACACAGACGCTTGAAGCACAGAAGGTGATGTGGGGAAGGAAGCAGAAATACCAGGTCCCAAGCAGGCAGCAGAGCCCATGCTCAGCCAAGACTGGGCAGGCAGAGGCATGGCATTTGCAAGAGACCACATTCTGAAATGTGGAAAATGGCAAGAGATAAGGGCGGCCACCCTCCTGGAGACAGCAACTAGCAACCTGATTCCCAGTGTGGAAATAAGAATTTGGGCTGCGACAAGAATTTGGAAGGAAGCAGGACCCAATGGCGCACGCCTGTAATCCCAGTAGCCTGGGAGGCTGAGGCAGGAGGATCGTGAGTTCAAAGCCAGTCTCAGCAACTTAGCAAGGCTGCAGACAACTCAGTGAGACCCTGTGTCTAAATAAAATATTAAAAAGGGCTGGGGATGTGGCTCAGTGGTTAAGTGCCCGATACCAAAAAAAAAAAAAAAAAAGAGGAAGGAAAGTAATGGTGCTAGCCTTAATCACATCATAAAAGTGCAGAAACCCGGCCCAGAAGATACAAGGAGGGGAAAAAATGAAGAAGAAACCTAGTCCCAGGTTTAGGAGGACATACTGGGGGATCAAGTCAGTACTTTCTACTCCTTTTCCTTTGGGATTTGCTTGACAGAGTGACACCACACTTGGGGGTGTGTGTGTGTGTGTGCATGCACCCACGTACACACACGCATATGTGAGCGCACAGGAGTTTGAGAGGGGAAATGAATACCCAGAGAGGAACAACGCATGACCCAGGGGCTTCCCCGAGACTGAACAGTCACCCTGCTGGCAAAACCCGGGTTCCTTCTTCACAATTAACGACCTGAAGATCCAACTCTACGTACGGAATTGACTGGGGCCCCCTGGGACTGAAGGAGTCCGATTCTTTCAGTTCACCTCTGAGATGTCAAGCTGTGGGCTTCCTACATGGGTCTGGAAATGAAATGTTGCTGGCTGTCATGGTTCAAATGTGAGGTGTCCCCCAAAAGCTCATGTGTGAGACATTGCAAGCAGGAGAGAGGTAAAATGATTAGATTAGGAAAGCCTTAACCCAGTCGCAGAGTGACCCCTGATGGGATTCACCCAGTGGTGGCTGAAGGTGGGTGGGTGTGGCTGGAGGAGGTGGGTCCCTGGGGGCTTGTCTTTGGGTATATTTTTTGTCCCTGGAGAGTGGAGTCTCTCTCTCTGCTTCCTGGGTACCAGGTCCCCAGCTGCTTTCCTCTGCCACACCCTTCTGCCTCACCTTCAGGCTCCCCAAAATGGAGTCAGCCATCTATAGACTAAGACCTCTGAAACCATGAGCCCCCCCAAATGAACTTTTCCTCCTCAAAATTGTTCTTGTCAGGCTTTTTGGTCACCGCGGCAAAAAAGAAGACACTGGGATTCCAGGGTATGAAGCTATGACCTTGGTATGAGTCCAAGTCCCACTTCTGACCCAGGTTCTGTCCCCAGGGCTGTGCCACTATCAGCATCCTGATCTTCTCTGCCTTCTTTCCTATCAGGTCAGGCCTGAAATCACCTGCTACAGCCTCTGAAGGCAAGAACAAGATGAGATTTGTTCTCCAGGAGAAGGGCTGCAGATGTCTTACAAGAGCCCAGGGGACAGCAAAGCCCCAGAGACCTTCTGCCAGACTGAGCTTTGAAAAAGTAGGAGGTAGTTTATTGTCAAGGCCCAGGATTTTAATCAGAGATGGATTCTTTGGGGGTCTATGAACCACCTGTATCACCCATAAAGCTGTTACTTTCCATCTTATAGAGAGAGCTGTTAGAAGAATGAAAGGGGAAATAAAAACATAGGACACTTAATAGGCTGGATGCATGCTGGAATCCCAGCGGCTCAGGAGGCTGAGGCAGGAGGATCGTGAGTTCAAAGCCAGCTTCAGCAACTTAGTGAGGCCCTAAGCAACTCAGCAAGACCCTGTCTCTAAATAAAACATAAAAAGGGCTGGGGATGGGGCTCAGTGGTTAAGCGCCCCTGGGTTCAATTCCTGGTACTAAACAAACCAACCAACCTAACAGTACCAGGGCCAGAGGAGATGCTCAACACTTGCACATATGGTAGACAGACAGACCCATGAAACTATTAGCCACCTAGGAGAGGTGGCAAAGGGTAGCTGACATGATGGGCATAATAACCTATTACACAGTAAAGGCAGATGCTTTGCAAAAATGCAAGCACACAAGGACAGAATCCTCACAGTCAGTGCTGAGGGTGGGCAGCGTCAGCCCTATCCACGTTCAAATCAAAGTGAAGAAACTGGGTGCCCGGCGCACACCTATGATCCCAGCAACTGGGGAGACTGAGGCAGGAGGAATGCAAGTTCAAAGCCAGCTTCAGCAACTTAGTGAGGCCCTATGCATCTCAGGGAGACCCTGTCTCTAAATAAAATATATTTAAAGGGTAGGGGGCTGGGGATGTGGTTTGGTGGTTAAGCATCTCTGGATTCAAACACACACAAACACAAACACACACACGAAGGGCTGAGCAAGGAAGGCATTTGAACTTCATCCCAAGCACAACAGGGAGTCACAGTGTTTTTTTTTTGTGGGGGGGTGGGGGGGTGGGCAAGGGGGATTATTGTTTGCTTATATTCTTTCTTTGCAGATTTCTGGTTCATGACTGAGATTCTATCTCCCTTCCTGTACTAGACTCCTTCCCACTTCTCTTCTTTCGGCCCTAAATCATTTCATAATCCAACCTTTTAACCTGGATCGACATGATTGGGTTTCTTCCAAACGTACATCTCACATTATTTCCCATGCACCCTCGTGAGAAATAACTGAAGACGGCATGCTGCCGCAAAACAGAAGAGAAAATCAGTTTACTGGATTTTCAACGGTGCAGAGCAATCACAGAGCCGTGATAAGGTAATCGCTCAATGCTGACCACAATGTAATTCCGTTGGGAGGACAGGGGATGGGAAAAGTGGGTACGTGGTAGAGACAGAGGGAAGAGATGAAAATCTCATTTTCCATGGCCAAGGTATCAGCAATAACTCAAACTGGAAACCAAGAAGTTGTCACCCAATACATAATGTTTAGTCACAGAGGTAAATATGTCAATAATCAGTTGAAATACATTAAACAGATACAGTAAAATACCTCTTGGGAAAGAAATGGGGGTGAGGGGTTGGGATCCTATTGGGATTCTAGTTCATCTCTTTTGTGTATAGTGGCGGGGGAGGTATTAGAGATCCCAGAAGTGGTCATGTGACCCAGTCTGGACATGCAGACTCCTGGCCACTTCTGACCCAGGGCACTCTACTATTAAGCTATACCCCAAGCCCTTTTTATTTCGAGTCAAGGTCTGGCTAAGTAGCTGAGGCTTGCCTCAAACTTGTAATCCTCCTGCCTCAGCCTCCCGAGTCGCTGAAATCACAGGTGTGCACCTCCTTGGGGTTTTTTTTTTTTTTGGGGGGGGGTACTTGGTATTGAACTCAGGGATCCTTTACCACTGAGCCACATTCCCAGCCCTTTTTATTTTTGAGTCAGGGTCTCACTGAGTTGCTTAGGGCCTTGCTAAGTTTCTGAGGCTGGCTTTAAACTTTTGACTCTCCTGCCTCAGCCACCTGAGCTGCTGGGATTACAGGTGTGCACCTCCATGCTCGGTAACACCTTGTTTTTAATTGTAGTAAGATTGCATGAAGGATTTTTATAAACAGGAATATGACCTGATTGGGCTTGCTTGGTACTCAGCTGCAGAGTATTTAAAGATTCTTCAGGTGATTCTTCAGGGCCTTCCAGACTGGATAACACCCTTTTGCAACTATTTGTATTAAGTATGTAACCAAAGGATTCTGACCCCAAGAGACTGATTGGAAACCAGTATCTCTTTCTGAAAGTGTGGTTGTGCACCCAGGCT